TATATTGCAGTTATTTGATTAATATTATATATATGTCATTAAAAATAGACATTTGCATTTTTTGGCTTACATCTATCGATAGAATGTTTAAATTGAACGTACTGAAATTTTGTTACAAATTATTGTCAACAAAACGCTGAAGTTCTCATCATATTTGCGTTACTAAGAAATTAATTTCGTTTTTAGCATTCTGATATCTAGATGGCTCCAGAAGACCAGGAAGCAGTTGATACGTTTAAGGCTATTCAACTTAAAATTTTAATTAAAGGAATTAAATATTTAAGAAACAGTTCCTGTTTAATATTTTGAAGTTCATGTTTTGGAATTAAATTTGATTGCCTGAAATTGCTTTCAAGAGTCTCTTTAATTCTTCAATTGTTTGCGCGGTCTGTAAGTCCCACACATTAACAGTGAGTGTAGCTAGATTTTCTAAACTGGTTCTGGAAAATTAATTATTAAATCTAGCTTGAGACAGTTAAAGCTTTTTAATTTGGTACTTGGTAAAATGATTATTTAATCTTTAAATACATTTACTTTGTGACGTTGCATACATATGGTTTCTTTTTTGTATATATGTATAACCTTAAATAATTGTAAGGCTTTATGTTTCTGTTCTTTGCATTTCACTTTTATAAGGACATAAAATTGGTCTCCTTGTTGTCTATAAGGAATTGGGTAAATAGAATATTATTAAAATACATTAGCTAAATATAGTAATGACACGCTGAAAACAGTACATGGCACTGACATAAAACTGATGTACATTTTTATTTACTCAATTCTACAAAGGTAAGAGTAGTTGGATTATATATCCTGCAAACATATTTCAAACAATATACATTTTAAGTTTTTAATCCTTTCAAATAATTGATTAAAGCATTTTTTAATTTGAAATTTTAAAAATTAATTATTTATCACTTATTAACTTTTTCTTGAACATTATACGTATTATTCATTTTACTCATGCCAAAGATATATCTACATACACTTCTTTTGAATAAATATTGTATAACAGAAGTATAATATATACATATGCATAAATATATAAATATATTTAAAAATAAAAATATTAAACTAATCAAATATAAAAGAAAAAAAAACAAATATAACAAAATAAAATGAACAAATAAATGACACAAACAAAAAACTAGTTAATAAAATAATACATAATAATACATATAAATAAAAAATAAATAAACATATAAAAATATTACATAAATATGAACAATAACTTATATATAAAAACATATAACTACATAAAGAAAAAGAAAACAACAATACACAAAAAACTATACAAAAAACAAATAAATACTTTAAATAACTAATCAAATTTTAATAAATAAATTAATATGTCAATACACAAGCAAATAAATAAAGCAGTAAATAAATACATATAAGCAATTATATAAAAAACTATATAAGTAATTATTTTGCGATTATAATAAATTAATAAGTGATTAAGTAAATAAAATAATAAATATTTAAATGAATAAATATATTAACAAAAAAAAAATGGAGTAAAAATGAATAAATGTCTTAATGACTATATCAATAAAAATAAATAAATAAATAAGAGAAAAAGAAACAGATATTAACATTAAAAAAATATAACAAAAAAAAAATAAATATATGAATAAATAAGTCAATAATAAATAAAAAATAAGTGAATAAAAAAATTTTTATTTATAAATAAATATTTATAAATAAATAGAAAATACATAGAAATTCAAGTAATTAATCAAATAAATATATAAAGAAATAAAAAACAAATTAGTGAACAACAAAATCAATAATGAAATAAATATATACATAAATGAATAAATTGGCAAATAAATTCGTAAATAAAAAAAAATAAAAATGAATGCAAAAATTAAAAACTAAATAAATGAATGCACCAATAAATAAATATATATAAATAAACATATATATATATATATATAAATAATTATATATATATATATATATATAAACAATTATATATATATAAATTAATTATATATAAAAATGTATACAAATTAATCTATATAAATAAATATATATAAACATATACATATAAATAAATATATATAAACAAATATACACAAAAATATACACAATAAATACATAAAAAAAAAGTACAAGCTATTAAAAAAATATCACCTCTAAGATAGAATAAATAATATATAAATCAGTAAGTAAATAAATATTAAAATAAACAAATAAATATTTAAATAAATAATTTG